GGAAGACAGCAGATGTATCTAGTATCTAACAAAAAAGCACCCTTATGCTTTTGAGTAGTGTCACAGTACAAACACTAACACATTATCGTTAGTATTAATCTCTATGCTCCTACTTCCAACAGCTCAGTGCAGGAAAAAGTATTCACAGACTTAAAAAGGAAATGCAATGAACTGCAAAATGGAATTGGGTTGCAACTCAAGGAATCGCGTTGCAACTCAAGGAATCGCCATGCAGTATGCGAGTCACTGACAGGCTGAAACTTTAACAGAGACAAGCCCCAGAGCACTTCTAGCTGAATGTTCTCTAGTTTCCGGTTCTCAGGTACTGCTTTTCCCCTCAGGAGTGCTCTTGAGTCTTCAGTAATCACTCAGGATTGCCTTCATGTAACTGGGTGGTAACTATATACAATCAAATGCATCCCATTGAAGTTAAGCTTTTCTTCTTAATGAACAGGCATAAGCACCACCCTTGCTTCAGGTAATTGGTAGCTTTCTATAATGATAATCCTACCCTGTAATTACCTAGAAGTGTTTATAAATGTATTTATTAAAACGCATTTATAACAAAAAATACCTTTTCCTGAAGCCCTTTATCCATCCATGCCATTAAGGCCACAACTGTCAGATGTGACATCACTACCTATGAGTAGTGACAGGTGTATAAACCAAAATTCTGCCCTTCAATTCTCTTCTGCAATTCGTATTATTTATAATATACATCAGAGCATCTGAAGATAGACTTGATCTTTATATCTGGGAGGAAAAGGTAGATGTTTTGTTTTAGTAAAGGCTCAACAGTATTTCAGTGTAAATATGGAACATGGTGTTACAATGTAATCAGTTTATTTTTTGTTCTGATGATAACTGTTTTTCCATTTTCATTGCCTCCCCAAAACTCTCCTGTCAGCTCTTGCAGCAGCGACTGTGGAATAGCTGCCATTAACGGTCCTCAAATATGAACATAACCCAAAAAAGCAATATTCCCTTAAAAGGAGATAAGTGGGAAACAAGAATTTATTTTAATAGGCGTTCTATATATTGATATGAAGTATAGCTAAAATGTAGCAACATTCTTATTAGTCCTCTCTATTTTTAAATTGAACAAGTAAAATGTGCCATTGAGCCAGTGTGCTATTCCTGTATTAATGCCAAGGTATGATTAATTTTTCATTGGTATTTTCAGTTTGCTTTTTTTTCATAAGATTCCTTGAAATTTCCATGAATCCTAATGGAAGTATGTAATCTAGAATTGTTGCCCACATATTATAAAGTTTGGGTATTTAATTTATCAGGGTGAGTCTTACTATCCTTTAATATCTTTCATGATTTGTCAAAACAAATAATTAGGTTTTCAACACCTAAACCCAGATTCAGCAAAAAATTTAGGCATCTGAGAGGAACAGGGCTTAGGACACTTCCTTTTCCTCACCATCTGCTCTTGGCTAGCTTAGGTGGCTATCTGCATGGTATGTATAGGGAATCTGAGGACTGGATCCTCAATGGTATTTAGGTAGGGTTGCCAGATGGTTTAACCAAAAATACCAACCCCTCTCCCCTCAAAAAAAAACCACGGGGGGGAGGGGGAGGGAAAGGGAGAAAACAAAGTTGTTGAGCAAAAAATAAAAGGACCCCGAGAGAAATAAATAAATAAATAAACCAGCATGGCCCCTTAAAAAAATGCCTTCGAGGCTTTTTGGCCCTAACAGGCTGACAGCGACCAGTAACCATCTTGTCTTTCTGCTCCGGGCCGGACAGCTCCTCTGTGGAACCAGGCTAAGCACCTGGTATTTTTGCCTTCTGGGAAAAAAATCAGAAAATACCGGACATTTTAGGTGTCCAGTATTTTCTGATTTTTTTTACTGGACAGGAAGTGAAAATACCAGACTATCCGGGTCAATACTGGACACTTGGCAACTCTATATTTAGATGCCATTAAAATCTATGGGATTTAAGTATCTAAATATCATAGAGGGTCTGGGCCTGGACCCCTCACTAGGCAGCAGGTATGTTAAAATTAGGCTTTGCAGTGCTTAGTGTTGCAACACCTAAGTTCTTTGTGGATAGCAGAGGAGCCAACAACCATGCCGGCCCCTTGTCAAAGTGAGGGAGGGAGGTTGGCTTCATGCTCCTGTAAGGGGTGGGGCCTCTAGTGAAAGGGGTGGGGCCAAGGCAGCCAGCCCTCAGTGCCACCGGGAGCCATCAAAAGGACATCAGACTGTTGCCATAGAATGGAATGTGATGTCACAAATTTAGCATTCCAGGTTCCCTACAAGGACTGTAGTGGCAGGGTGGGGTAGGG